CCGGCCCCAGGCCCTCGGCGGCTTTGCTCCCCGTCTCCCTGGTCTGCTGGCTCCCCCAGCAGACCAGGGAGACGGGGAGCAGCTTTTCTGGCCCGGGAGGTTGCGGGCGGTGGGACCAGGAGTCCCGCCGCTCCAGCCCTCCGGGGCGAGAAAATCCCCGTTCGTAACTGCAGATCCGACATAAGTCGGATCCGCGTAACTCAGGGACTGCCTGTATATGTACTAATTTTATAATTACAATTCTAAAATCATGTTTTTGAAACTTGAAAAGTGAAGCTCACAATCTATTACAAATAATTTGTTAACAAATGACACTGCTACATTTGGTGGTATGTTTTGTGGTTCCTTCCGTTAGTTGCAATGATAAATACTTGGTGCACTCAGCACTTTTCATCCATGGACTTCAAACTGTTTTACAAGTTCTAAATAATTACATCTCATGACATGTGAGAGGTAGGTATTAGAGCACCTTTTTTAATGCTGCTTAGGAACTCTTAGTAAAGCAGAGGCTGCAGGATCTTTTTATGGCCCTAATGAAGTCTGACTGTGATTCAGAAATGGTTTTACAGTACAAGCTTTTTTTTATCTAGCACTTCTCCACTGATAAGCTCAATAAATTGGCATTTTTGATCTGCATAGAAAGTCTGGCTTTATAGTGTGATTAGTGTAGAGCTGGCTGGCGCATTGGTGGAACCATGGGGCATGTTCTGGGAGGGAGCTTGGGAGCAGGGATTAGGGTACGGGCAGTACTCTTTTTTGTTTAAAAAAAAAAAAAAGTGCTGGTACTCCAGGGGAAAAGTTGTTGAGCTCTGAATGGAGGTGCCAGTACTGCATACCGGGCAGTACCATCACAAAAAAAGCACTGGGTGCAGGAAAGGTTTGGTGTCCAGATGGGGGTACACTCCCCTGCGGCAGCACCGCAAATGGCTCCCTGTTGTTGCTGGAGGAGGCATGGTGAGGTGACTGTGCAGGCGTGCTAACTCCATTCCCACTTCCCAAGTGCTGACTACATGACTCGCAGCACATTGGCTGTAAAGCCATGGCTGTTGGAGTTGTGGGGGTGGTGCCTGCAGAGGGAGGCCACGTACCTGCTTGCAGCAGAACTGACTGGTTGCATCTCCACCGGGAGCAGTAGGGATGGGGAGCTGCTTGAGGAGGCAGTGAGCATCTGGCAGCACATGCCTGAACCCAGGCCCAGTGCATGTGCCCCACAACCCCCCATGACCCTACCCCACACTCCAAAACCTTTCCTTTTAGTTAGCCAGCATTTTTAATTTACTGGTAGCTTCCCCCTGCCCCATTTGTCCAGCATGCTGGATATACAAGGGATTTTACTATATTTCACATTTTTATTTTTACTGTGAAGTGGAAATTTCTTTCCTAGTATGATAGTGAGTACCAGTCTTGTAACTGCATGTTAAGTGGTAGAGATTTGAACATGAATTGTTGATTTTGAAATGTTTAATTTACAAAATCTACCTAACTCTGCATATTTTCTTTAATTTCCATCCATTTTTTTTCCTTTCTTTTAACCGGTTTGGGGTGTAATGAATCTAACCTGAGTGTATCTTTGTGACATCCTGGTCTTCTGATCTCATAAATTCCTTTATCTTCCGACTGGCCCCTTTTCTCATTGCATTTGGCATGTGCAGCCTTAGTTGCCTAGAGTTGAGGACAAGAATCAAGTCACCTAGGGATCATTGCTTTCCCTTCATATCAACCAAGGAGGGCAGTCATAGAAGTGATTTTGCTACTCTACACTCAAGAGCATGAACTTTGTGATACCCCTCACAAGAGCTCAAACTCTGGTGAGGAGAATTAGAACAGCTACTGGAGATAATCTGAATCCTCCGGGTAGTGAAGTTCTCTCTTAGTAGGACAGCAGGCTGGCTTGCAAACTGGTTCTTTTGCAAAGGGAACAGAGAGGGTGCCTAGCATTAAGTTGTGTTATGCTTTATTGGGTGTGCGGAGATTAGTATGTCTCCTCTTCTGGCAAATTATTCTATCCAGAGTTCAAGTGCTAAAAATGTTATCTCTGCAAATCTTTTCTATACTCACAGGAGAGCAATTGGCCACTAGATGAAAGAGGTCCATGATCTAGGTCACCAGAAATTGTCTTTTGGTCTTTTTCTAGCCAAGAATGTGATCCAGGCTACCCTCTCACTCCTACAAGTGGTCTTATGAAATTGGAGTTGAGGCATGTTAGTGTAGCAGTAGGCAGTGGGCGGGGAGAATTGGTAGTGAGCGTGGAAGTCTTTATTGCCCAGAAGAAATTCTGGCATTGAGGAATGACAAAACTTTGATATTCATCTTGCTGAGCAACAGCATACTGAAGAATGGTGGTTGAAATCTTCCTCCCTGAAGCCTGAATTTATGCAGTGACTAGAGGTGTAGCTGTAACCTTGTTCCATGCTATAATACATCAGATTCATCAAAATGTTCAAAACTCTAGGTCTAGCCTAAAATATGCAATGATAGGTAAGATGGGGCTGGATGTAACCAAGTCTTTGCCTTACATCTAAACTGTCAGTAATTAATATGAAAACTCTTTTGTTTAATGTACTCATTTTGTGTATTATTCAATGTATTTCACTCCTGCAGAAGACCTTATTGTGCCAGAGTTCATATATCAAACTTGCCTATAAAATGTTTCCTGTTTCTAGTTAGAGACATTATAGTTTATAATGTACCAGATACAAGCTATTAATTAGGGGTGCTGTTTATATGAGCGTTCTGCTCATTCTTTGAAAGTGATGGTAACTTGTGGTAAAACTTTACACACTGATACTATTATACCCAACAAAATCCCTTTATTTCTGCTTCTGTTCTAGCATATGGACAAAGATCTCTTAGTATTGCTTTCTTCATATTTCTCTTTCTGAGCTTATTTCAGTTGAGTTAAACTGGTGTAAAATTCCATTCTTTGTTTTTGTTTTCTAATTCCTCCCTTCTTTCATCTGTTCCTCTTTCTAAAGGACTACTGAGCATCGCTGGTTAGTACTGAGTCACTGGTGTGGTGCTGATTCAGTGTAATAAGGGAGAGATGATTGTACTATCCAATGAAAACTGTTAAGTGAAACTTATCAGTATCCTTGTGGAATTTTTTTTTTCAGGAAGCAAAACCTTCAGCTGAGGACTTGGGAGATAAGAAAGAGGGAGAATACATTAAACTCAAAGTCATTGGGCAGGTGAGTTTTTACATAATCGGTTATTTTCATAGTTGGCTGCATACAGTTTGCAGATAGATCATTTATCTTAATTATACACATGAATTCCAGTACCCTAACAATTACTTGATGAGGCGTATCTCCCCAAAATTACTCTCCTGTTTACGAGTTGCTAATGGTAGCTCTTAGTACAGCTCTAGGTGCCTCAAATGTTAATGCAAAATGCAGGACAATGTAGCACTTTAAAGACTAACAAGATGGTTTATTAGATGATGAGCTTTCGTGGGCCAGACCCACTTCCTCAGATCAAATAGTGGAAGAAAATAGTCACAACCATATATACCAAAGGATACAATTAAAAAAAAAGTGAACACATATGAAAAGGACAAATCACATTGCAGAACAGTCTGTGAATTGATGATATTAGAGGTGTTAATGTTAATCAAATGTTAATGAAATGTATCCTTTCAACTCCTTTGTGAGTGAAAAGAGTAGTGTTATCCATGTTTTATAGATCAGGGAATTGATGACTAGATGAGGTCATACCGGAAGTCTGTACCAGCTGGTTTTAGATAATGCTGGGCAGGGACTCAGGTTAAGCATGAGAGCATCTTTCCTCTTAGACATGGAGGGGGGTGAAGGTGCCGGTGGTGGTTTACTTAACAGTTTGTGGGAATTGAGCTTAATTACCACTGTAGCCAGCAACTTCTCTCTGAAGATAAAGACTGTAATTTTTAGTAATGCAGGGAGGACCTTCATGAGCAATTCTGTGTAAAGCCACAGAGTACTGTGGGAGCTACTGGTTCACTTAAACTCTCTTAATCTTAGGAATTTTAAGACTGTATTAGCCTGGCATCTTTGTGCTGGTTGGAATCTGGGGGCCAAATTTAGTCTAGGCATAAGGTGGTACAACTCCAGTTAGCTTAATTAGAAATTGTAATGACTTACATAAAGGCTGATTATGGCCCAGTGATGCAGATCTTTCAGGAGCGCTTTCCTGCCAACAAAATGAAACCTGCTCACTGGGGATGGAAGTATTTGGTTAGCAATAGTACTGACAGACAACGTTCACACATGCTGACTTTCAGCAACAGGGCTGTGTCGACAAAGACTTGTCTCTCTAAATTGCATAGTGCAGACATACCCTCAGACACTTGCATTTGTAGTCATTTTGTCAGTAATATATCTCTTTTAGGTCTATGGAAGAACAAATCCTTTACACCTTCTCTTTAACCTACTATTATATTGCTGAGAGAGCATGTTTACAGTGGTAGACACGCTAAATGAGTAGGGATTTATTATGTATTTTGAAGTGCAGTCTTAACTTGCTTCTCTCTGGAACTTGAAAGCAGAGATCTGCTGTGTACAGCTATTTTTAATAGGTAGTTGAGAGGATAAAGACAGATAGGCTTTTTAATGTTTTTTTAAATTCAAAATGTCTTTAGCAAATCATGAGCCATGTCATACCACCATGGAAATTCTGCCTAATGTGCTGTAAACTCTCTAATAGGATAACTTGTTAAGCTTTACTGCAATAAAGTATGAAAATTAAAATCTGCTTCAAACAAAGTAAATAGTTATCAAAAGGGGTAACCTCTCCTGTTCTGTTCTCAGGACAGCAGTGAAATTCATTTCAAGGTGAAAATGACGACACATCTCAAGAAACTTAAAGAATCATACTGTCAAAGACAGGTTTGTGAAACAATGATCCTATTCTATTGAAAAAGCACTTTTACTCTCCTTTTCTTCCCTTTCCCAACTGAAGGGATCTGCTTGGACAGATGAACTCATGTCAGATCTCTGTTCACCAGTGGGATAGTCTCAAAAACAAGAGCTCGAATACAGTGGACCTCCTAATTAGGTTTGATAATCACTAGCATTCATTTGGGATAGCATGATGTAGACTTTGTCCTGCTGTAATACATTCAAATTATTTGTTGACATTTTTTATATGCTCATGCATGCACTTAAAGACCTTTTACTATCAATGTGAAATATATTTAGAATTCTAGAATATTTTTGCTGCTGTGTGGGAGCAGATTTAAACCTACAACTGCCAGTATTAATATGACAATAAATTGACAATGTGACTACTAAATTCAGTGCATTAACGCTCTGTGTAGGTAGAAGAGGTTAACAACGAGGTGGCTAAGTTGGATATGATAAATTGCTTTTCGGCTGATCTACCTTGAATAGTATGAAGAGTTACAAAGGGATCTCTTGCCCAGGGTGATAGGGCAAGAAAATGGCACACACAAATCCGTCTTGATCAATGTAAGGTTAATGCACGTGGGAAAACAGAATCTCAACTATACCTATACTTATGCCAAGTATACCTATACCTGTACTTAACTTCCTAACAGTCAGGGTGATTAAACACTGGAATAAATTGCCTAGGGAGGTTGTGGAATCTCCATCATTGGAGATATTTGAGAGCAGGTTAGACAGATATCTATCGTGCTTGATCCTGCCGTGAAGCCAGGCAACTGGCCTTGATGCCCTCTCAAGAATCCTTCCAGTTCTAGTATTCTATGATTCTATAAGATTATAGGGCCTGTACTAGCTTTCTTTTTCTCAAGAAAAATCTTGGTGTCATTGTAGATAATTTTCTGAAAACATCTGCTCAGTGTGCAGCAGCAGTCACAAAAGCTAACAACGAACCATTAGGAAAGAGATAATAAAACTGTAAATATCATAATGTTGCTATATAAATCCATGCTGCTTCCACATCTTGAATCCTATGTGTAGTTCAGATCACCTCATCTACCCCCCCCCCCCCAACAAAAAAAAGAGAGAGAGAAATGGAAAAGATACAGAGAAGGGTAACAAGTGGTTAAGGGTATGGTACAAGTTCCATACAAGAAAAGATTAAAAACATTGGGACTGTTCAACTTGGGAAAAGAGGTAAATAATGAGGAATATGATGGAGGTCTATAAAATTATGAATTGTATGGAGAAAGTGAATAAGGAAAAGTTCTAACCCTTCACATAACACAGACCATCTGATGAAGTCAGTAGACAGCGGGTTTAAAACAAATAGAAGGAGGAGCTTTGTCACATGGTAAGAATATAAGAATGGCCGTACTGGGTCAGGCCAAAGGTCCATGTAGTGTCTGCTGACAGTGGCCAGTACCAGGTGCCCCAGAAGGGGTGGACCGAAGACAATGATCAAGCGATTTGTCGCCTGCCATCCTTTTCCAGCCTTTGACAAACAGAGGCCAGGGGCACCCATTCGTTACCCCCTGGCTAATAGCCTTTTATGGACCTAACCTCAATTTATCTAGCTCTTTTTAAAACTCTGTTATAGTATGGCAAGGAGTTCCACAGGTTGACTGTGCGCTGTATGAAGAAGAACTTTCTTTTATTAGCTTTAAACCTGCTATCCATTTAATTTTATTTGGTGACCTCTAGTTCTTATATTATGGGAACAAGTAAATAACTTTTCCTTATTCACGCTCTCCACACCACTCATTATTTTATATACCGCTCTCATATCTCTCCCCCCCCTCCTCCCCTCCTCAGACTCCTCTTTTCTAAACTGGAAAGTCCCAGTCTCTTTAGCCTCTCCTCATATGGGATCTGTTCCAAACCCCTAATCCCGTGGTCACCAACCAGTAGATCGTGATCTACCGGTAGATCTCAGGGGCTCCAAGAATAGCTCTTGAGCCCTCTCTGAACTGTGCACCTGCGCAGTGCATTTACATTAGATTTCCTCGTGTAATGTAGGTGGGGCTTCAAGGAAGGGGCAGGGCAGTAGATCTTCACCTGTTCTAAGACTTAAAGTGGTCTTGGGTGTAAAAAGGTTGGAGACCACTGCCCTAATCATTTTAGTTGCCCTTTTCTGAACCTTTTCTAGTGCCAAAATGTATTTTTTGAGCTGAGACCACATCTGAATGCAGTATTCAAGATGTGGGCGTACTATAGTTTTATATAGGGGCAGTAAGATATTCTTTGTCTTATTTTCGATCCCTTTTTTAATAATTCCTAGCATCCTATTTGCTTTTTTGACTGCTGCTGCACACTGCATGGACGTTTTTAGAGAACTATCCATGAGAACTCCAAGATCTCTTTCCTGATTGGTTCTAGCTAAATTAGCCCCCATCATATTGTGTGTGTATATATAGTTGGGGTTATTTTTTCCAATGTGCATTACTTTACACTTTTCCACATTAAATTTCATTTGCCATTTTGTTGCCCAGTCACTCAGTTTGGTGAGATCTTTTTGAAGTTCTTCACAGTCTGCTTTGGTCTTTACTATCTTGAACAGTTTAGTATCATCCCTATGGTACAGTCAACATGAACTGTTTATGGAGATTCTAGTCTAAGAGAAACTTCAGTTGGTTGAGGGGTGGAGCTCTTGAACCATTTGAAATAGGTTCACAAGAAATATAGCACCTTTTGACAAGTCAACAGCTTCTGACAAATACCAAGTTCTTTGTGCACAGTTCTGTATTGGAGATCTCCTCTTCTAGTGGTGTTAATCATTAATTAATACTTGTGAGCAGTGGTTAGCTGAGGAAAAGCCAAAATGTCTGTTTTTTGAAAAGGAAAATAGTTTTGACTAGCCCTCCTGTAGGAGAGGATAAGGCTTCTGTGGAAGGCCTCTGCCTGCTCAGGGGTAGAAAACATATGAGTCTATTGGACTCTTTCACAAAAATCCTGTTCTTAATTAAGTTAGTCATTATGTCAGAGCCTTTTTAAATCTGAAAGTACTGGGGAAATTAATACACAAAAGCACTATGTTGTGTTTAAAGCCGCCCCCCTACACATCTAATCAAAAAGCTAAGGTGTCTGTTTATATGCCCTCTGTTTTTCCACTAGCACAACTACCATACATCACAAACAATGCATCACCATTTTCTCATTCCCATTAGGGATTCCAGTCTTCCAGCTCCCTTTTTCCCAGATATGAGTGAGTGATTTCTTCCCTCCCCCTAACCCATGCAGAAAGGATGGGGGAAAGAAGTGTAGTTAGTTTGTGGGGATGCTGGGTGTGGGAGGATTTGAGAAATGGGGGTGCTGGAATGCACATTGACCGTAATACTACCTAATTCCTGATACCAAAAATATTACGAGTGTTAATTTGCAGGTCAGAAGAACCCAACTGGACTTTCAGTTAGGTAGAGTTTGCAGAGTGGAAAGGATTCAAAAACCACTCTCTTTGCTTATAAACTGGACAAACTTCCTGTGGTGGTGATTGATGACAAACATTAAAATAAAATCCTTACATATGTTTTATTAAACATTTGTGTGGCTTGTTTGTAGGGAGTTCCAATGAATTCGCTCAGGTTCCTCTTCGAGGGTCAGAGAATTACTGATAATCATACCCCCAAAGAGGTGAGTTTCTTTCCTTATTAGAAGAAGGCAATTGGCAACTTAAACAATGCACCCCCAGGACAATTAAAAAAAATCAGACTCTGCTTTGTATGCTAAGGATTTCACTGTTCACCCTAACCTCTGTTATCTGCAAGGTTTTATTGCAACAAGTATAAGTGCTCATCTTTAGGGGAGAGGGGTGGGGAAACACATGTATCTTGTTTTCTGTTTGCCATCCGTATCAAGATTGTACTGTAATTGTTGCATACATTTCTTTCTGGTACTGTAGTAGTTATGAACTGACCTTTGGGACACTGCCTGTGAGAGATGCAGTGCTGATCTGATCATCTTTTGGGGAGATTTGAAAACAAACTTGAAAACATTAGGTATTGGTTGTAGTTTCTGAGGTGGAAGTCCTTTGTTTGTAACCAAGTAAACTACACACTCATAATCATTATGCCATTGGTACACAATTGCATGACCGTAATGGAACAGCTGCACAAGAATAAAGTTCAAGAAGTTGTAAAAAAAAAAAAAAAAAGCCGGTCAACTTTGAGATCTGGAAAATCATTTGGGCTTACCAGACACTGCTGCTGACTCCAAACTAGATGTACTGCAAAGATGAAACAAGTGGAGAGCATGGGGTTAGGACTAGGTAATGTTGTTGGTGTTGGCTAATAAGGTATAGTGGCAAGACTATTTTCCTACTGCTTTTATTCTGTTGAGGAAATATGACTGGGCAAAGTAGTAAAATCTTTAACATGCTTGTCCAGGAGCTGCTGTGCATTCAGAACAACTGATTTATAACAATTTTGTGTGATTGTGATTGTGATTGTGTTTGTTTTTTTTTCCCCTGTTCTCACAGCTGGGGATGGAGGAGGAAGATGTGATTGAAGTTTATCAGGAACAGACGGGGGGTCACTCGACAGTTTAGATTCTTCTGATTCTTTCTCCCCCCCCCTTCCCCTTACTCCTTTTTTATTTTTAAATAATAGTTCTTTTGTAATGTGGCGTTCAACACTGAACTGAAACTCGCACCCCACCTCTGGGAATTTATTTTCAAACATCTGGTATCTTGAATTCTCGTGCTCATTATATACTATCATTTCTGTTTTCATTGTGCTGAACTCTTGTGATCCAGCTGCAGCCCTGCTCCCTTCCCCCTTCCTTTTAAAATTACATGTATACACATGCATTTGTATGTTCACTAGGATCGTGCGTTTCAGGCACGAAGGTTAAGATCTGCCAGGTGGGTAAATGTTCCTCATGACTTCCACAGCAGCCCCGAAGTTTTGATGTGTGACTGTTTCACTCCTGGACTATAACTTTCTGTGGGAGATGAAGTTTGTCAGAGAACTAAACAGTGGAGAAGTTGTGGGTCCATAATTCAGGGAGATTTTCCTTAAATTGTGCTGGTGGCCCAGGAAAGAAGACTGTCCAGTTGAAAATGGAAAAGATAGAACTGGTGTCATCTGTACCTTACTCCAGAGATGGCTTCACAGAAGACACAAAATTGAAAACCTTGTTTCTTAAATTTTGGCAGAAGAGCCCAGAAAAGTTCTAACTTTCAAATAGCAATTGATACACAGATATTCATACAAGAGTGTACACAGCAGGCAACTGGTAGTATTCTGATACTCTTTGTACATTTTGACCTGGGACATGGGTTTTGAATGGACATTGTGTCTGTACCAGCTTCATTAAAATAAACAAGATAATACAATTTTATAAACATAACAATTTGTATTTTCTTTTCAAATATTTGGAGATGAAAGCAAGAGAGCAACTGGAAAATGATAATACACTGGATATGCCTATCTACTAAATATTGATCAAAGCCAGTAAATATTACATTCTAAAAACATATTATCTAAACTAGAATTCTGTTCCCTGCTCACTCCAAGTATTGAACAATAATTTTTATAGTTATGTGCATTCCTTTCTCTTGAAGCTATTAACTGTACTTGTAAGATGATGAAAATATATATACTTGTAGTTTCAGCTTGGATTCTAAAATTAGAGGTTAGATTGAAACCTGTAACTTGGAAGGGAAAGTTGAAAGAAAACAGACTTAAAAAAACAAAATAAAAAAGTTAACCTTTTTCCTCTAGATCACTGCATCACATATGGTCTAGTCAGTAGTGCCCTGATGTAATTACTATCTGATGTGTGAATGGAGTCCTGTCTAAAATGAGTTGCGGGCTCACTGCAGTTCCTCACTAGGGATGTTAAAAAGTGGGTTTTTTTTGTTTTTTTTATAAACTGTGTGTAAATGCTGTTTATCAACAGCAGTTACACGCAGGGAAGGGAGGAGGTGGTGGCTCTGCAGGAGCCGGTGCTTAAAAGCCGGCTCCCCTTGAGCACTGGCTCCAGCCTGGTACCCACACTGCCTCTGAGAGGGGCTTACATATAACGGTGAAGGTTAACTCGTGAGCCCAGGCTCATCAGTTAATTGTTTAAATGAATACACTGTCTCATCCCTATTCCTCACCAGGTATCCTCATCTCAGGAGGTTACCACCATTGTGGGGTACCTGCTTGGGCAGTCTCAACAGTGCATCATAGAATTACGAATGGTCACACTCAATGTTATATTCAGATGAGTCTTAGGGCTCAGCAAGGAGGTGAATTGGCTGGATAGTGTAGAAAAATACATTACTCTGCCCATGTGACATTCAAATAGGACTTGAGAGTGTAGGTTTTTACATCAAGTGCTTGGTGAAAACTCAGTTAACAGTAAAACATTTTTGCAAAATGGCATATTTGTATTGCAGAAATCGCAGATGGGTTTTGAGTTTATGGAGCTCACTGTAAAGTTATACGTGCTTTTCCTTTCATGCTAGTGGTTTCGATGTCCTGTTTCCCATGTATTAATACACTGCTTTTGTACTCATAGCTGCACTAAACAATCTCTTTTGAAGATTAAAATTTTGGTTTAGTAAAGTCAGAAAATATGGATTTTTTTTTTTTTTTTTTTTTTTAAGTGTTGTGTTTAACCAAATGATTCCTAGAAGAAAAATGACATTGAAAATGGAAGGGAAGAAATAATCACACCAGAATAATGTATGTTGGAGCAAAATACTGTTTTCCAGAATACCAAATATAGCTGTCTTAAGTATGTATATTGCCTCAGTTACAACAGGATCTGAGTGCTTCTCCAACTTTCTAATAAATGCAGCCTCACAGGGTATGTCTAACCTGCATCCCTCTGTAGGCAGAGGGATGCAGATTAGGCAGGTTGACATTGCAAATGAGGCAGGGATTTAAATATTCTGTGCCTAATTTGCATAAAAATGGCCACCGCGTTTTGCCGACTCAGCACTTAATCGGCAAAAAGTGGCAGTCTAGAGGGGATCTGTTGAGAGAGAATGCCCTTTTCGACAAATCCCTTATGCCTCCTGCAAGGAGGTTTACAGGATCTGTCGAAAAAGGCTTTCTTTCTCGACAGATCTATACTTAATGGTTTAAAGCACAATTATGGCAATGCTTTAAACCAAAAGCGTGGCCATGGAACCCCAGCGCTTTGTGTAACCCACCTTTGTGAGGGGAGTAGCTTACAGCGCTGGGCTGTAGCCTGGTTCATGCTGGCGCTTTACAGCGCTGTAAAGTACCTGTGTAGACTTGTCCTTAGAGAGGTTTGGGGGGAGATTTGGCTGCTGGCCTTCTCTCCTCCAGTGAAGCTGAACTGGTGGTGGCTCTTCTATAGTAGATTTTTCTCCTGAAGTTTGTCGTCCTTCCTCTGCATGCAGACACTGCTGTTCAGCAACAATGCTTTATCCACTTTTCCTAACTGCTCATAGCCAATCTATTGTTAACACTCCTCTACCATTGTGGCCAAAAGTGGAGCTGAAATGTTGGGAAGATTTAGGAGAGTGTACTCTAATTTCCCCCACTGCACCCTAGTTTTGGAAACTAAACCCAGGCTCCATGTAGGAACACTGTTCCCATATCTCTTAGGTCTGATTTTTTTTTTTTTTTAAACATCTGTAAGCTCCCAGGGTCCTTTGTGGTAAACAATCTGTTTATACCTTGTGTTTAGCTGCAATGCTGAGTCTGTTTTGCAGAGCTCTCTGTAAGCTCAATTGTTCACCCTTCTCGCCAACGGAAGTTGATCCAATAAAAGATAATTACCTCAACAATCTTGTGTCTCTGTAATCACATGCTGATATGTTTTGTGGTTTTGATGTTTTTCGATGGTCCCTTGTGCCCTGGAAGGAGTCCAGTGAGATGGACAAACACTTCTGGCTGAAAGGGAGTGCTGTTGCAGCAGCATTTATAACGACGATGGGCAACCGAGAGTAGTGTGTGGGCACCCCTTCTGTTCCCCTCCCTGATACTCCTATTGCCATTAAGGCACGGGAGCCCTACGCTTACCTGCTTCTCCCTCCACCACCGCTTTTAGAGATCCATGAATCCACTAGCTTGCGTTCTGTCCCCACTCCTCCCAGAACTGGAACAGCCACAAACAGCTCTGGGAGGGAGGTGGAGAAGGATCTGTGGTGCTCTGAAAGTGCTGGGAGGGAAGAGTAGGAAGTGTGGGAGAGGTGCATGGGGGAGGGAAGCAGGCAAGGGGTTGCAGGTGAAGCCCCAGTGGGTTGCATGCAGACTGCAGGGTGCCCACCACTGATTTATAAGCTCTTAGAGTTATATCCAGGTCTCTTTCAGCCAGAAAGATGGGCTGGGCTTTGTGCATACATTGGGAAGACTGAAAGTGAAAAGAAATCACTCAGATCCTGTCCCTTCTCTCAAAATCTCTGTATTGATATTGTATACCAGGCACAAACCATAATGTATTTTTCTTAAAATCTGTAATGCAAATTGCATCTTTGTAAAATAAGGGTAAGTATCATTCATTAAGAGGTCTTTTAACATGTATGATGAAATAACTTTCAGGTGGATAGAGTCTCATAATAAGGTAGAAAGAGGAAACCATATAATCTGTATTCCACAAAAGAATGTGATTAGTTCTTAAGTGGCTCTCATTTCCTACAGTAGCAGCTAAAATCGCAACCTCCAGGTTGGGCCCTGTTACTGTAAGTGCTGCATAAAGTGAAGTCCCTGCTTGGCAGTTTATAGTATAAAATATTTAAAATCTAAAAGATAAGCAAGTTTATCCTTGTGTAGCTTCACAGGAGATTGCAAGTGCATAAATGTTTGTATGACCTTTGTTAGAAAGCAAATAACTTGCTCCATTTAACTTCCATCTTGGTTCATCTTTTAGGGAGCACTTAGCACGGATGCTCTATTTTTCAACTTCCTTGCTTCTTTAAGGGAGAGTTATTTTTGTATATGGAATATATTTAAGTGTGTGAATCCAAGTGCAAACTCTGAATTGCTGGTGCACAATCAAATATTCTTGTGATAGATCTGCTACAGGTAATATATACAAAGGGTTAAAAGAGTTAACGTGTATTAAGATACCACTCAATACCATTTTTACAGGAAAGCTCAAGTACTGTAAATCAATTTATTTTGCTGCTAGCACTGGTAGTTAGTGCTCATATTTAATTAAAATGAAGTCCAGCTCCAGCAAATAAAGTCTGGTAAAAAATTGTTTCAAACCTTTTAAAATGTGCAGTTTGGTTTGCACATGTACATTTAAATTTTGTTAAATTTGTAAATTCATTTGAATTAAATATGAGCACTAACTACCAATGCTAGCAGTAAAATAAATTGATTATTTACATTATAGCATGTAACACAACTATAGGGGGAAAAAATGACTAACCTGATTCTGGGGAACAAGAATTGTTTTCTCTGTAGTAGCAGTTTGTATTTGATGTCTTTGTTGGCTGCTTGGGATTGCATGATGCCAAAATACTTAATCCAGCTGCTTGCAGATCTAATGAACCTAGGTAAGTATGCTAGACTAAGAAAGAGAGGCCCTCTTACTCTCTACAGCAGTGGTTCTCAAACTTTTGGGGCTCCAGAGCCCTTTACATAAATAAATTTTTATGCAGATCCCCAGCGGGACCGATTGTATGTGTTGTGTACCTATTGACGATTCCAGTTTGTCAACCTTGCGGAGCCCCTGGAGATGTTTCGAGACTTCGCGGAGCACAGTTTGAAAAACACTGCTTTACAGACTGGGCCTGAGAATTTGTGGGGAGGGCACTGGATAGAAGTCTCCACTTACAAGGTCCACAATAGACCAGTGGGCTAACTCACCTTGTTAATTAGGGCATCTGGTTGACTACAACATTTTGAATGCTTGATTTCCTGTCTGTAGGATGGGCATATAAACTGTACTTATCTACAGGCTAAGAGGATTTCAGAGGGAAAAATGTCTCCCCAAGAAGGAATAGGGAAGCCTTAGGCCATGTTTTGTACTTGCCATTGGGTCACATGAGGTAAAGGGAACTCCTGATTGGATTCAGTGAATCAGAAGAGTCCACTGCAATAACTTGTCCCCTCACTATGCTATAACTTATTTTCTTTTGGTGTCTCCAGACCTAGTATTTGGAACAAGTGAAAATAAGAATAAACCCATGGTCGTGAAACTTTCTGTGTATGTTCCAGTCCCCTGCCTTCCACCAGCAGGACCTG